CCAAAAACATGAAGTTGAAGCTCCAAGTCCTCTCATTTTCCCCTACTATAACCCTTTATTGTTTAGTAGTTTTTTCGTGTATTTTTATATTATGATTTATCATTGAGAACCATGCATGGATTGTTATAAGACCAATAAGTCTTAGTAGTTTAGCCATGATTGACTAATCGAAATCATTGTTTGTGCATTCAAAATTATATATATTCTGCACTAGATGGAGGGCAACATTTAAGATCCTAGAATATACAATCATATATGAGTATGAGAGACACTCGTTTGTTGGATGGGAAACCTTACCATCGATTTCAAAACGTTTGGACGGATAATTCAGTAAACGCTTGATTATATACCTCGTATTTTTGAAATGTGATAGCATTTGTAATTTTTTTATAAAATAAATAATGTTTTTTTCATAGGAACAACTTGATGTCATCACCCATCGGGGGACATATGACTTGCCCCAACGAGAAGATCAAACTAAGCCCTTCATTAAAGGGCAAGAATGGCGAAGGCGCCAGTCTTCATGGTGACGGAGATTGACAATAACCTCCTTACATTGATAGAAAGGTGGAGGAAAGAAACACACGCCTTCCACCTTAGAGAGAGAGAGAGAGAGATTATCACATTAACGGATGTCGTAGCGCTCATCCATCTGCCAATCTATGGATAACCCATAACCACGAGTTTGAAGAAATAATGAATGGTTGGGCACATTGATAAGTTACTGTTTAGGCATCAATGTCCCAACGACAGTACGAGAAGGACGTTAGAAACCACCACTGGACCAGTCTATGTTGCTCAACCCTTTGCTAATGAGGCACATTAATGTGTTGGGGAGGATGTAACATACAAGCAGGTTGAGAGGTATACTCGCATATAGGTATATGCATTGCATGTGAATCTCACTACAATTGGGAGATTGGAACGAGATGAGACCAAAAAAAAAAGTTGGAGTGCAGCTTGCTTGCCAACATTGTACGTGGAGTTGTGCAAGTGTACTGTCCCAAAGATAAAGCAAGTGAGTGGTGTCATGTTCATCGTCCAACTCTGAGTTTGGGAACACCTATCGTATTTAGCACCATACTGCCCAACTAACAACCAGCTCCGATGAGCGATTGAGGCAAGTGCCTTATGGTGCTAAGTGGATTGCGGCTTCCACGAGATACCGTCGACCTGAACACTCACTGAATGGGTACCATGAGCATCTTGACCATCTAGAGTTTAACGAGGTAACCTTCTAGCAGAACTTTCTTTTACCTGAACTTGTTGATTTTGATAAGTATGATAATTCAACATCCTTTTATTTGTTTGTTAATTGGGAACTATATATTGACAAGCCTTGACTATCTACGGATTGCGAAACCCCGAGGAACAATAATATATGGTCATGCAAGGTGCCTCTCATTTGTTTGAACATCGTCGAGTGTCATCTCCCGAATAGATGCATTCGACAATATCAATAGTAGCATCCAATTCCTTTGTCACAACCTAACGGGCTTAAGGTATCCACAAATACAAACAGGATGAGCGGGTCACTATCACCGATTAAGTAAGCAACCACCAGCCTTGAATTGGTATATGGGAGAATCAAGTGAGGCATAAATTTGATGGCACCCCAGCAACGAGGCCAACCAGACATCAAGATGAGTACATAATTTGGTACCATAAGTTCATCAAAAGATCAGTAACCAAACGTGGTGTCATGATCTATTCGCATGTAAGCATGCCTCTAACTTATACCTTATTCACCTTGTTCAAGATAGAGATGTTCTAACTAACATGTCTGTCAATTAGGTTGATGGGTTGGAACTTGCGAGTGCGAATGTGGAGAGTAACCCTCGATGGGCCTGACAATATGTACTTTTTGCAGAGACCCTTCAAGAATCTGTTTTAATGTAAATGGGGGTGCTGAAGGGACGTTATTGCCTATCCACCAGCATCTTCACCACAATGTCCTTCCTCCCAAGACATTCATGTCCAACCCCTCCTGTTATTACCACCAAGGAGGAGTAGACGTCGCACCGAGGCAGTAAGAATTCTTGTTCGAGTATGAGAAGAGGTGGCCTTTCCAGTCCTGTACGAGTACAAATTCCCCCTGTCACGAGGGAATTCGGAGGAGCATCATCAAGCGCCGCTCCTTCCGTCCAACTATACGAAGTAAGATCATCAATTCCCTCTATTATGATTATCCAAGCTATGGACATCAATTTCAAATCCCGCAACCAAGCTTTCATCAACCGATGAGCAATATTAAGAATCCTTCGCCTTCCACAGCAAGTCAGCAACACCACCTCCACTTCCACTCCACCATGTTACTCTTGTTGCACATCGAGTTTATGACAGGCGGAGGACCCCAGGGGGATGGACGAGGTTGTGGTGGATGAGGAGGGATAAATGTTGAGGGAGAGGAGTGACTTTAGATGTTCTTGTATTTTCTAGATTTGTTTTGATGTTTATTTCCTGTAGTTGTTTATTTGTCTATTTAAATTATTGATTCGTTGCACTATTGTCTAATGATATTATAGTTTATTCTGTGTAACTCCAAACCCTAAGCAATTGTCCAGGGAAGATCATAGCATAGTTATAAACACTGAAAGTATGGTAAAACATCACTACACAGAGAGATCAGGCGGTAGGGGCAGAGATAAAAAACGATGGAGGTAGTGGAGATTCCAGGAAGTTCATATCAAAGGGAGAGTAGCAGATGCCCTGCAACGACCTCAGAGTGGAAACAATGAAGCTTTCGGGAGTAGTAAATCATGTTGGGATATAGCATTTCCCCAGTTCAATTTTTTTGGGATTCTAGTGGCACAATGATGATACGTTGCGACAGGAAACAACGAGGACAATGTGGTGCATTCTGACAAAATGTCTCGGTCTTCTCTTCAAATAATCATCAGTGATAAAGACTGTAGAATCCAACGACAAAGTTTCTCAGAGGATAAGCGGGTCTCGTGGTGGGCGAGCCGGGGGGCAGTTGGATGAGCCGTAGGAGAACCGACAGCAGTGGGGTGCGGTGAATGGAGCAGTTGAAGGTGCAGGAGGTGGGAGCATGAGTGAGTAGTGCCAGAGCAGGAATAGTGGGAGACTTTGTTTATTGTTTTGATTTCATTTATTTTGTAATTGTTTTCCTTTTGGTTAATGTGAATGTATTTTCAATATAAAAACATTTCAAACCCAAAGTTTCCATATAGCAGAGATCACCATATTTTGTGCTTTAATCAACTATTAATATTGGGGTCGTGGAAATTCGAACAAACGACCACTTGGTCAAACTAGCTCTGATATCATGTCATAAACCAATTGGTCCCAATAACTCGAGTCGTTAGAAGAAGATTATGTTGAATCTTATACCACTCTCTTACAATATTACCTTTCTTTCTTATCCTTTAGGCAAAAGTAGAGGCAGGGTGAATAATTCTCACCATTTTTAATTGGGAGGTACTAATTAAAGCCCTAAATTTTTTTTAAATTTCCGCCCTAACTTAATAATTTGACCTTTTCGCCCTAAAAAATTATCAATCCCTAAAATTATTTCGCCCTAAACCTAACGCCTTCGCCGCTGCTGCTGGGTAACTGGTCGCGCCGCTGCTGCTGGTCGCTCCCACTGGTCGTCGCGCCGCTGCTGCTAGTCGCTCCCACTGGTCGTCGCTCCCATCGCCCCAATACCTCTCCTAAAACATTTTCGTCAATGCCGCAATCGCGATTTTCCTCTTTCCCCTCTGTCGACGAGCTGCTGCTGGACTGACACCAACAAAACGAAGAACTCGCCACCGACAAGTGAAAGTATGGAGTCCCGCGGAACTCGCCAAAAGGATGAACAGCCACAGCCGGAGCAGGAAGTGAACACTGGTGGTGGCGGTGGAGGAGGAGGAGGCGGATGGGGAGGTTGGGGTTTTTCTTCCGTCCTCTCAGATCTCCAGAAAGCTGCCGAAGAGATCTCTCGCAATGTGCGGTTTCAAAACTTTCAAACTCAAATCGGTTTACTTATCACTTCATTCCTCCATGCGACAGGAGGGCGTACGGCGACGGCGGCGCTCATCTAGGGCGACTGGCGGCGAGACAGATTAGGGGATTAGGGCTTCGATGTTGGGAAAAGGGTTGGAGGAGTAATTTTGTCTGTTCAATTTATTTAGGGCGGAAATTTTAAAAACTTAGGGCTGCAAATAGGAATCCAGTTTTTAATTTCATTGTTTGTGTGATGTGTCGTCTGCGCTAGCGAAGCACTTTGTCTTTAAGCCTCCATTCTGCCAGGTGGCCTGAAGAGGTGGATAAGAGCTGGGAATGATAATCGTTTAAATTTTTTATCGTAGCAATGATACCGGTGTTGGAGCTACTGCTGGACTCGAAAAAAAAGCTACTGCTAATAGCGGTGTTGGATGAGTCGCACTAGTACTGGCGAGGTGGGCCTTATTGTGTACTGCGGTGTATTTGCCTCGGCTACTTCTTATGGGCCTGCTTGGTTTTCATGATTCTTGGCCAGGCCCAGTGGTAGCCATGTGTGTTTCACTGTTTTGGTTTTGCAGGTGAATATACTGTTTTTGGACTAAAGCTGTTGGACGCTTCAATTAGTACAACTGCCTAGCAATGGGTCCGTTATCAGGTAAGGTATCACGAAGTCGGTGGCGATGTGTATGTGATTTGCAGGCGAACTTCCTCCTGCGTACGGATGGAAGCTACACTTAGTTGAAGGACATGACACATATCATTTTCAGGCTGATGAAGTGTATCCCTTTACTTATTTTATGCTATCAGTTTATTAGGCCTAGGCTGTTCAGAGCTGTCCATATTGTGGCTTAAAAGGCTCTTGAATCGATAGTTCGCTTAATAGAGAGACTATCGTATTTATATTTTTCATGTATATATACCTCTGCCTACGGTTATTTATGCAGAAAAAAAAAAGCATAAAAAGCTTGAATCTCAAAGATCAAGTAATGATTAGGACAAATATAAAATTCAGGCCCACCCAGAACACTGTAAAGAATTAAACAGCACAGAACTTGAGAAAGAAGAATATCGTGGCTGTCATAAAGTTTTTCCTTAACTTCACTTTACTGCTGTTCCCGTCTCAGTACATTATCAAAGATATGAAAAATTCTTCCTTGAATTTCTCATTGTTTGAAAGAAAATTATAAAAAAAAAAAAAAAGAGATCATCAACACTCAAAAGAATTAGCCAAAAAAAAAAAAAAGAGGGAACCAAAACAAAATCGATGAATAAATGCTACAAATGCTTTGAACCCAAAATAATTGGTAAAAAGAAACAAACAAAAAAAAATCTGATTCGCTTTTGCTCTTTGCGGCTCACTTTCTCTGCAGCCAGCAATATAAAGGCTTCTTGAAAATCTACAGCCTCTTCCAATTCTCACTAGTTTCCAAGTGCTAATTGCCTGCTCTCAAGACCCAGGACAGTGTTGTAAGAAGTTCGTGTTGTCAATCCCAAATTCATGGCCATAAGCTGAGTTAACAGAGAGCTAGCTGAGTTTCAAAGAGACGAGAGGTAAAAGTTTACCAGGGGAAAGCAAAGATTGTACAGTTAATAGGATGAAGGATTCCAATAATACTGAAAAGCTTGAAGAATCATTTCTTGACAAATGGCTTTTGGCAAACCAGTATCCTCTGGTCGCTACCATTCTGAGGATCCACCACCCTTGCTTCCCAATGTATCTGTGCAGCCAGTGCTCGAGCCATGTCGATGGCAGCCACACTATCTGATAGAACAACCCATCCCTGCAAACACAAAACCCACCATGGGATGATGATGAACAAGGATAACTGATCTGACATATTATTGCGTGAACTAAGACAAATATTAGATCCATTAGTACTTTGATCTGGTTTCGATTTTGAGTCCATAGCACATATATATAGTTGCAGTAAAGTACCTCGGGTCTTAGAATTCGATCCATCTCCACTAGTACGTCCATCATACCACATCTTTCTGAACTAAGATGTGAGAGCAGTGCATATCCATGAAGAAAGTCATATGTTCGAGGATAAGTCGGGAAGGGCTCGCACCTGCAAGCAAAAGAAAAGATGGTTCACATTAAAAATTCAGTATATCACATAACAAGAATGAACCCAGTTATCCTACACCAAACAAAAAATGTGATTTTTACAAGAGATTCAATCAGACATAGTAGGCTAAGAAATAGATAACATACCAGTCATGTAGAACACCAGCAAAACCTCGATTGATAATGAGGGGAAGAGTATTACGAGCCCTAACAGGAACCACATTCATCACCCAAACCGATTTCTTCTCGTCCAAAAAGGCAGCATTTAAGCCACCATAATGAGCATTCATGTCCATAACATTTCTTAGCATGTTGAATGGAGGTAAGGGATCTTCATCACCTGGCCTCTTTGGATGGTCGGAGAAAATTAACGGTGTTAGCAATGACCAATAGTTTCTAAGAGCAGATCGCCACACCTGGGAGTCCTCAGAGAAATCATCTTGTTGAACTCCTGCAAGATGACATTCAGACTAGAGTCAGGACTTCAGATCATGAACTTAGCTTAAAAGAAAGAAATCGTCTGAAAGACAACAATACTTACCATGAACTTGAAGCTCGTATGAGCTTAACTGCTCGGTTGACCTGTTTTGAATTGGAATCCAACGCTGACTAGTGGTTCCGCTAATACATGACATCAGCGGCTGGTAATATGGAGGAATATCATTCCCTTCATTGCAAATTGGAGGAGAGGCCGACTTACTGCATTATTAATATTAAAACATAAGAAAAGAAAGCAAGGGTTTTACAATCTAGGCTCCACAGTAATATACTTCATTTTCTCTATAAAAAAAAAGAAATATACTTGACAGAGTAAGAAAATTGAAGGAAGTGAATTTGATCACTGCATCCTCACCGAGATTTATAGCAATTGACATCAGCAGTTTTCTGCCAGATGAAAGTCTCGTCCTGCTGAGCCATGAGACTCCAACATATCTTTTCAGTGAATTCTTCAATTGGCGCCACCATGCTTCTTTTCTTTGTTCTAGATGAACTTCCAGATGGTTTACTTGCCGGAGATGTTAAAACAAAGTAACCCCCTGGCTTGAGAATCCGGTCCATTTCAATAAGGAACATACCATCTGTTTTTAGGAAGTCGTTGTCAGATAACAATGAAAAAATAACTAACTCTATTATGCGTATAAAGTCAGAAAATCACTTGGATAGAAAATGCTCCCACAAAACCCTGTCAAATAAATGTACTTCATGATATTTCTTCATACCAGAACTACATAATCAAGTATGTTTATCATATAGTGGTTTATATTTCTCAACAATTAGACGAGGAACAAATAAACGTCTTCAGCAGTAAATGATGAAATCAGAAAAGATCAAGCAACAAATGATAGTTTAAGGTACAACATCCTCTTCTAAGTGTCATATTTGAAACTGATTCCCAATCCTGGCGCAAAAGAGTATCAGCACTCCAACAACTCAGCTTTTTCATCCGTGATATCAGATGACTCAAAACATGACAAGCTAAAGGGGTCGTTTAGACAATGGAATTGAATGAAGAAATTTGGCCCAATTGCTTCAAAATGAAGCAATTCAGTGCCTCGTTTGGAAACACAAAATGAGGATGCAACGGGACGAAGCAATTTGAATTGCCTCGTTTTGCATCATTTTGAATTGACATGGAAATTATGCATTTTTTAAGGCAATTGGGTCAAATTGCCACATTTTAGGAATCCATCATCACCCCTAGCCAATTAGAAAACAGAAAAAGAGGCAGAGAAAATGGGGCAAAAAAAGAGTTCTAACTTCTAAGACGAGGAACTGAAAATTTAAAGAGAGGGTAGTTAAAAACTCAGATGTACCTTTATCGTCCCAGATAATACTACACTGAGTACAGTGAACCATGTCAAACGACAGTGAAGGATATGGAAGTTGTCGTGAGATAAAATTTCCAATCATGGCTGGTAGGCCTCTCTCAAGTGCTAGTTGAACTTGGCTGCCAGTGGCCTCATAAGCAGCAATGCAGATTGGCATTACCTTGCGCGACACTAGATGAGCTCCTAAGCTTCCAAATCCACAACCAATGTCCAGTACAGTTCGTACCTGTGGTCAGACATGAGAAGCAAAAGACCATATAAGAAGAGAGTACCTTTTTCGTTTCTTTCAAAGGTAATTATAGGATGCCTAAAGAGTATTCTGCTAGTCATTCGACATGAAATGTGTAAGAAGAAATGCTTACACCAGCTTGATGAAACTCAGCATCACTTCCTAAACCTATCATTTCAGCAACCTGGCGTGAGTAGTCTTTCACTCCATCAAAGATCAATCCATCCTCAGAGTGAAAAGCAATTTGATTCTCTTCCAGCAGCATCAACCTACAACATTTGGGCATTACAATTATATCCAGCAAAAATACTAAAAGTCTGCATTAAAAGTTCACTACTTGAGTGACTGAACAAAGCAGGTGGTACCTCTTTGTCATGCTTCCGGAAGAAAGAAACTGGTCCCTGCTTAGCCTCACATTTCCGCTCCATATAACATCCCTCCCAGCCGGCCATCTTAGTGGAATCTTGTAATCTTTTGGAGGCCGAACCAAACAACGCTCTCTCGGCCTAAACATTTCGCAATGCCTATCGAACTCTTCACCATCCTTAAACCCAGCCAATGTATTTGAAGTGACATTGTAACAAGGCACAAAATGTTCTCTTTCTTTGCCACAAAGACCAAGCACTTGCTGCCTAGTTGCAGAAACTGAGAACGATCTAAGCTCCAAATAATCAACTGCCGCCTGCTCCTTCAACCTTCTGTAGTTCGAATAAATGTTCGGAACTGGGGTAATTGTTACGGAATCAAATGCAATGGAAGACGTCGATCCTAAGATGGCGATCACTGCAAGGACACATACAAGGCACAACAACAACCAACTAGCCGGTGGTCTAGGGCCTAAAGTAACAGATAGTTTATTGAGCCAAGGGCTTCTCATGTCCGAATTGTTGAACGAATCAAACCTCCGCAATCAACCAAGGATCCAATCATGACCCGAAACTCCAAGAGCAGGGAAAACCGTCACGAATTATTACATACAAGCTTGTGTATATGTCACCATGAGCACGAACTGTCCCAGCAAGCATGAAAGGGTGCAGCAGAGTCCACAGTTACCAGAGAGGCAGCAAGCCACTCGATTTAGGATCTTCAGATTTCACTGTAAGCTTCGAATCCACAACAACTGAGAGAAAATTGAATTGGATTTAAATCCAATTCCCGACACTAAATGCCAAAACAAGCTCCTTGATCAATGAAGAATTGGAACCAGAATCAACAACAGATGTCCATCAACGCGCCCCGCGACTTAACCAAATTCAGATCAACCTGCGGAGCAGAAGAAAGGTCAAAAACAGAATAAAAACAACCAAATTCTCCGCATAAGTGGCAGTGACTAACGGCCATTTTTGGTTTTTCTTTGGGCCGTTTTTCAACCCCAAAAGAAAACCCTGAAACCAAACAGAAAGAAAGGCAATTAAATGAAGCAATCCAAAAAAAACCTCTACCCCGCTTTTTCTATCCACCCATAATAACTATCCAATCAAATTCTGCCAAGGAAATGCAATCAAACTTTCCATTCTTAGCTTCAGTATAGATCTCGAGAGAGGTAAAGAAGAAGAAACCCAAGCAAGATCGGATCAAATACCGATCACTAAGCAGAAAATCCGGATGGGCACGACGAACGAACAAAACTACGATCACCCAAAACCAGAAACAGGATGAAAAAAGAGCTTCAGCCTTCCGGCATTTGTGAATGAAAGAGACACGACGACAGAATCGGAATGACTGGGAGAATGGGAGGAAATGGGAACTAGGGTTTTTCATGGAAAGGAAGAAAGTTACCAGTTTTGGAGAGGTAGTTAGTTGGAGAGAGTGGAGGGATGGAGAAATCGCAGAGATGAACCAAGTGAAGGGAGAGAGAAAGAGAGCGCTTTTTTGTTGTTGCTTGTTGCAGGCTATCTTGGCCCTCCTCGGTGTTAAAGAAAACACACAGCAGGGGGAGAGAGAGAGAATAATAAGCAGCGATTTAAGAGATTAATTAATTAATGATTAACAGTAAAATTTAAATAACGGATTTATCAGATCCAAAGGCAAAAGCTGTTGCGTTTTGCACCAACAGAATCGTTAACAAAAAAAAATTTAAACAAACTAAATATTTTTGGCCCTTTTGTTTTATTTATACTTTACTGCATAGTGGTGGCTATATGGTTCGGTTCGGTTAAATTGGTCTGAATTGATCTGGTCACAATATAAGGACGAAAGATTGAATTGGATATAGTTTGGTCTTGATCCGGTCCGGTCCCAATTTGGCATTGATTTTAGATTGAGCTTGTGGGGATTTGAGTGGCCTGAGGACTCAAAAGGTGAGGAGTTGGTTAAATTTTGGGTGTTGGACACTCTTATTCGGTCTTTACCTGGTTTCCGATCTGGTCCCAAACAGTATTTTACCTAAAATCTAAGCCCGAAAATTAGATTGTATTGTTTGCTATCCGGGTCCGGTATGGTCCCTGTCCGGGTTATACGGTCCGGTTTCGGGTAAACCCAAATAGCCCGTACCAAATAGCCAGCCCTAATATCCAGGTCGAATAATACTTGGTCAATTGCAAATTATACATGGTATTCATTATTGAATATGCAATTGTAACGACGATTGCACCAATGTAGTGTTCACTTGCAATTATGCAACCTTACATTTTGCTGAAATTCAAAATGAAAGCCACATAGAAAAATAAAAATAAATTTATATTTATGTTTTCTTATATTTATTTAATTTTTTTAAATCATTTGACCTATCATATATACAATTAAAAGTAAATTGTATTAATATAGATATAATGAAATTAATACGGGTTGGATTGTGAGAGACGAAAATAATAGGGCAGTTGGGTGTGGTGGGGAATGGGGATGCTGTTGGGCCCGCAGTAATGAAGTAGAGAGGTGTAAGATGTTGAGAGTAACTTTTGGCTGCTTTCATTTGGAATTTGATTACTGTCACTAATCAATTATTAGCTGAGAGGGAAGATAGCTTCACTAACTAATCATTTTAAGAATTAATTGGATTGTAGTTACTTTTCAAACATGAGTGTCAAGTGTCAACTCGGCAATTCCATTCCATCTTCGTTGCATAAATTCCCATAAATAGATAACACGGCAATCAAATCATATAATTTTTTTTAAATACAATTTAATATCCAAACCTTTCATTTTAAACAATATAATAGCCAAACCTTTTCGAAAACAATCTAATATCCAAATCGTCAACTTTCCGTCCGTTTGACCGTTAGTTGACACTTCAAAAAAACTTTATTTAGGGGAAATTGTCACAATACAACTTTGTTTTCTTGTTTTGGCATTGCAGATGACTGAATATTTAGATATTCTATACCATCATGGTGGAGTCATGGACTTCTCGAGTTTGGAACCACGATATGTTGATGGTTTTCAGAGAAGATATCGATGGATATTGATGAAGTGTCGTACTTCGAAATTTTTTGAAGTGTCAACTAACGGTCAAACGGACGGAAAGTTGACGATTTGGATATTAGATTGTTTTCGAAAAGGTTTGGCTATTATATTGTTTAAAATGAAAGGTTTGGATATTAAATTGTATTAACCCTTTTTTTTTGTGTGAAGGCAATCATTGAAAGAAGAAATCCCACCGCAGGACCTGGTACTGCACACGCAGACTGCTTTTACTGCTCATGCTGACCGAGATGTACTGTTATAACCCGGAAGCTGGCGCTGTGTGGGCTGGCGTTGGGTGGGGGCTCATTGGAATCGGACGGGTGTTTGGCGGGTCGGTTGGGATGGAACTTGGTCGTTGGGCTGTTTTGGTCTGCTGGATCGGTTGTGGTCCACGAACGCGTTGGTCATCAGGGCCCTCTCGGTGGCTGGAGCCTGCCCAGTTGCTTGATTGGATTGATTTAAGGCGGCCGGTCTATTTTCCTTGTATAATTTGTTTGATCTAACGTAATATGAATAATTTCTTCAGTCTTTTCGAAGAATTATATGCACGTAACGATGATTATATATCTTTGTCCTAATATTTTGGGTTATAGTTACAAAAAGACATATAAAATAAAAGATAATTGAATTTTTCGTTTGTTTTACGTTTGTCATATAAAAATAAAGAATTGACCATTAAAAGTGATGCAATATAAACAACGTTATTTTCTTTTTTTGCATTTAATGACAACAGTCAAATGAGTTGTGTACATTTTTATTTCTATCTAACTCTTAAATTGCCACGTCAATCACTTGGATATCACTACTATTTGGAACAAACTCAACCTATTCGACCGAAAAATTAGCATTTCTTCTGCCTAACTAACAAATATAAAAAGAACAACTTCATTAAACCAGAATGTCGTTTACCCAATATAGTTTTCGATTGATTGAAAAAAGAAAATTATCCAGTATGCTATAATTGATTTAGTCGCGAAAGTGGAAAATTATGGACTCGGTACTGAATAGACTGATTTGATTCTTGGTGGCAAGGTGTTTTCAACTTTGCCCAAATGACAAACATTTAAGAAAATTCAAGCAAATGTTAGGGTTGTCCACTTTGAGCTAATAGTAGTGGATCACATCAAAGAAAAGCTCCCATCATTTGTTGTCTGTTGATGTTATAAGCACACAAACCAAGTCCCCCATGATTTCAAGTTTGCTCATAAAAGGAAAAAAAGAAAGCACGCTCCACGTCCAACTGTGTACAAAGAAATACCAACCAAATGTTGTTTTAATTTGAAGCAAAAAATAAGGTATAGAATATATAAAAATTAATTGGCACAGACTACAAAGCAATTATTGTACTGAACAAAAACGGACGTGGGATAGTAGGATCTTATATGATATAGCCAGTATTAATCTATTTAGGAAGCCATTTATCACTATCTCGATACACATACTCGCTTTAATTTTTGACTATCTCGATACACATACTCGTTTTAATTTTTTACTATCTCGATCCACATACTCACTTTAATTTATGATAGGTCAAATTTACGTGGGATAGTTTATAATGTGAGTTGGAGTAAACTGAACTATAAGAATATGTAATTTTTAAGGGTTAATATCTTAGTTTGGCCTGAACTATACACATACTTTCTACTTTGGCCTGTGGTATTGAAAATTGCTATCCTGGTTTGAACTATGTAACCTGGAGGCGGGTTTGACCGTTAAATTAGACGGTCAAACCTGTTGACCGTTAGTCAATGTCTACCTCACCTGCCACGTCAGCTTTGAGAACATAAAAAATTATTTTTTTATTTCTGAATTTTATTTTATTTTGATTAATAAAAATAATAAATTAAAAAAATTAATTAATAGAACGAAAAAGGGCCCATTTTTAGCAAATGACAAGAAAACAAAATTCAGAAATAAAAAAATATATTTTTTATGTCCTCAAAGCTGACGTGGCAGGTGAGGTGGACATTGACTAACAGTCAACAAGTTTGACCGTCTAATTTAACAGTCAAACCCGCCTCAAGGCCAAATGAGAAAGTTTGCTACATAGTTCAGGCTAGAATAGCAATTTCTAATACCACGGGCCAAAGTAGAAAGTATGTGTATAGTTCGGGCCAAACTAAGGTATTAACCCAATTTTTAAAGTAAAAATGTTAGAAATAATTTCATTAAAAAATCAAGAAAAAAATTGTAAAAGTTAAATTATTTGACAAATTGAAATTCTTATCTATTTATAACTTTATTATAGCTAAAATACGTTATTATAAAAGTAAAAGTCTTAAGTAATTGTGTATATATAATCAGCGGCGGATCCAGAACACAAAAGAGCACTGGGCCGCATTTTATTAGAAAATTAGAACCATAAAAAAATTAATGATTATAGTTTTTTTACAATGTAAATTGTACACAACGGTATCTTAATTTAGAAAATGTATCAATAATGTAGTCCACATCCATACCAATAGTATACACTGTCCCAAATAAAATACTTGAGCAATTGGCAAGAAATTCATCGCTCATTTATTGTGCATATCAGTTTTTACATGTTTCTTTGTTCAAAAGGTTCTCTGAGGTTCTCTCTGTAGTTGTTGAAACGAGCAGCATCAACACTAGACAAATCAATATCAATTTGCATTATGTGTCCATCCCTATACCACCAGTTGTCTAGTAAATTTTCAAGGTAACAAACCTTATATTTCTTTTAGTCTGTTATGCTTTAGAATTTTAGGTTTCAATGTTTTTTTAGACGAAAAATCTTTGGGGCTAGAATTTCTTGGCTAAATTTAGAGTAGTGATTTGAATATGTTCATCTAAATCAATTTGCTAATTATATCCAATTTTATTATAAAAATAGCATTGGGCCGAATACCTAATATCAAAAAATTCATAAGGCCTATATTAACTATGGATCCAGAGGAGGGCTGGGCCGGGGCCCGGGGTGGCCACCCCCTGGATCCGCCACTGTATATAATTTAGACAAAAACTATCGAGAATAGGACGAATCACGTCGGGAAATGTACATATTTATGCCTCATCTTCAGGGAAGCTATCCATCCGAAACAAGTCAAACAGATCGGATACAATAGGTGAGGTTGAAATTGTTCATCCGTAAACATATCATACTCCATTTGAGAAAAATGTTGCATAATGACAGCAAGGATCACTCCCATGCATTTCCAGTATCATAGGCAAATTCTTTAGATAAGAAAACTGAATACTCGATGGAAAAAACTGAACATAGTAATAGTGCTAGCTTGCTGCCATGTTCCCAGATAAAAAGGGTTGCTTTTTTATTCTGATCATCAAGAATCCAGATTGGCAGTTAATAAAGAAATGGGAGTTCTGCAATTAACAAGGATGCTGGACAAGCAAAATGTCATTAACATCTGCAACAAACAGCCGGGTGAAAGCTGGTTGGTGACAGATTATATAAAAGTAGCCCAGACAGGCTAACACTCACTGGCCATCATAGTGGACCCGCTAAAACCACAGCCACCCAAACCAGTGGGCAATAATGTTTTCTTTTCTTCCCCGTGTAGTGTGAAGAATAGAATGACTTGTTACTTACCACCACCATTCCCTCCTCACAAACATCCAACAAACAAACGTCACTCACCAGATATCCAGCACATGGTGGGAGCTCTTCTGAGTTTCAGTACCTTCAACATCAAGGTGAAAAAACAGAGTGTTACCGAGTAATTGTTGATACAATATCATGGTGCATCTTCATTCTTCAAGCAGTGGCATCCAGCTCCCTGTTCAAGTAATCCACAAACATTCTTTTGGCACTCTCTGAATCCGATGGAGGTGGCCGTCCACTCAAGCTAGTTTGCCCCGTCAATTTGATGAAAGTTCGCCTAAGCCTCCGAAGCTCAGGGAGCCCCACAGATCTCGAAACATCTAGATTCGGCAGCCCCTGCCCAATCGAGATCCCATTCAAAGGCCCACCAGCCGCTCGAGACTGTGCCTCAACAATCACACTGATCACTTCTTGTGTGGCCCTGTCCAACTCGTACAGAGAGTTCACTTCAGAGAACTTTGCACTCTGTGTAGCTATCGTTGGCTGCAAGATCCTTACATCCCGAGTCTTGGAATCCACTTCTTTCGTCAGGTAATAAACAGCATCTGAAATAACATCAGAATATGACTCGATTCCGTTGCTCAGTGGCGACAGCTCGAACAATGGAGAGTCCCACCGGTTCTTTTGATCTGGCCTCTCGAACCTTCTTGCCAAGTCGTCAAAGATGGCGTCATCATAAGCAGCTTCTCCCTTGATCCTGCGCTGTTGGTTCCATTCCCGGCATTGGGTTTCCTCTGCATTGCAGAACACCACGCAGTATCTTATCCCAGTGGCACGAGCCAAGCACCATAGCTCGTAACGATAGCCCTTGATGCTGTTTAATGAATCGACGATGACTATTTTGTCCTTTGATACGGATCTGTCGACTTGAGACCTGAGAACTCCTCTCAGGTTTTTCTCAGCTGGCATGTTGGCATAGTTTTGATTGCGGTCCAGGTGGAAGGAGGCTTCGTCAATGGTATTGACGTTGAATTTGGAGGAGGAATCGGATTGTTTTAGTGCTTCGGCCAAGTTAGTAGCAGCTGTGGACTTACCACTACATGGCTGCCCACAAATTACCACCAACGCCATTCTTGATGTAACAATCGAGAGCCTTCACTCTACTTGCAACTGTTGAGGAAACGAAGAAAACTTACTGATAAGAAGCAACCCAAGACGAACAGGATTTCAAATTCCAACAAAGAGTAAAATTGAATCGAAACAACAAGAAAAAAAAACATGAAAGAAAAATCTCGATTTCCCAGCAATTTGATTCCGAGCTAGAGCACGAGAGATCTTCATAACCAATCAGGCAGAAACAAGATTCACGTAGCTGGAAAGCTCTTAGTTATGAAATTAGGAAAGAAGTTAAGGTAAATTAGCGCTAAGATCTCCAATCGCACTACATCATACACAAATCTAAAACCCTAATAGTACGAAGAGAAGAGCAGGGAAGCATATAGCTTTATTCAAGAAGCGGATTGACGAACCAACTGAAATGAATATCAAATAATCGCTGCGTTGCTGGTTGTGAGAATTACCTCGAGAAACAGACTTGTCGATGGAGACAGCAGCGGCGCTAGCTGCTTAGAGCGAATAATAGAAGACGGAGGTTGCCGGTAAAATCTATCAGCTGGCGATCGGGAAGCGCAAGAGAAGGTAACCGTGGCAAGACCCAGATGAAAAAAGCCAACCTTTTTCGCTGAAGGGATTCGAGTTCAAATGTCGAAGGAGGAGACTGATACGGAGGAGAAGAATTGAAGAAGTAAAAACTCCAGGTAGCGGAGCGCCCTGCTGGTGTCTCTGTGTCCCGGGTAAGACACCCCCAAAATTAGGGTTTGATGCTTAACAGTGGTTCCTATCAGCAATTACAACAGTAATCAAATAAATCAGAAATTAAATCAAGAATATTCATCCAATTGTCATGGAGCGTTGAGAGCGCCATCAGCAACCCAATCTGCTTGAGAGTTGAACTTTCTCACCACATATTTAATCTTGATTCTCGGGTTCATACGAAGAATTGCAACCATGGATCCCATTAGTGCCGCACATCTCCAAGGTCAATGGGAAGGGTCGTGACTCGTGAGTAGGGATGACAATAGGTCGCGTTGGGGTAAAACTCACTGGGTTCGGAAACCTCAAACTCAGCCCAACCCGCTGGATATCCACGGGTTCATGGGTACTTTCGGGCTTAGATAGCGTCACAACCCCCATAGGGATTGTGATTTTCGCTTCCTCCTTCGCAGCCATTAGATCTACTCTCTCTCTTGGTTTTTCAAATTAACGGTTTAGATCAAATGAAGGGTATTTTTGGAAGAGAAAACTTACCATACACGATCCTTTCTCATTTTCTATATAATCTCATTTCCTAAAAAAAAAAACTCATCCTCTCTCCCCTCTCTCTTCCCTCTCCTGAGAACCCTAACTGCTCTGTGTCTCTCCCTCCCGTCATCGCCGCCGCCACCCCCTCCCGTCGCCACCGTCGTCGTCTCTCCCTTCCGTCGCCACCGCCACCATCTCTCCCTCCCGCTGCCACCGTCTCCCTCCCGCCGCAGCCGTTGCGTCCTCCGCCTCCCACCACTGCCGCGCCATAAGGCTCTCTCCGTCGCAGCCCTCTCGCCTCCCTCCAACTCCTGTCACCGCCATCTCTCTCCCGCCGCCGCGAGGTAATGACCTCTCCACTTCCTTCTCATTTCCTCATTCCTTAATTTTTTTTTCCAGATCTGGGAATTTCCAGATTCAAGATCTTGTGTTTTTATGTTATTCTCTAGTGGTACTGATTTCTGTCTAGTGTTACGCTACCAGTGGTAGTGGTAGCGTACCAGTACTCAGTGGTAGCGGTACCAGTGAGTAGTGATACTGATTTCTGTCTAGTGGTACGCTACCCGTGGTAGTGGTATCGTACCACTTTTCACTAGTAGCGGTACTAGTGGTAGTGGTAGCGTACCACTACTCACTGGTAGCGGTACCAGTTGTATTTGTAGCGTACCACTACCACTAGTACGTACCACTACTACTGGTAGCGTACCACTAGATGAAAATCAGTACCACTAGCGCACTGACGGAGTGGTTTTTTTGCATATGGCCAGAGCGAGTCTGATTGGAGGATTTCACCGGAAAAAGTCGTCGGCCGGAGAAAGTTTGACGGTCAGAGTGAAGAGGTTGCTGGAAAAGAAATATATATATCTCACATCCTTCTTATGGGAAGTGACGGTAACTCATCCTGGGTACCCATGACTTTTTGTCGTAAAAAATTTACAATAACCAGATCCTATCAAAATAGAAGTCAAATATCAATCACTCAAAACAAATTAACCATACAAATTGTTCAACACCAATCTAGAAAAATCAAGAAAATTGAAGCAAATCACAAATTATCCATAAACAACATGATTAATTGATCCTCCTTGTCAATTAAGCTTCTTGACTCTCCACCCGATAATATCAACTTCATTCTACACAATTAGAAAGAAAAAATTAGGCATGTCTCCACTCTCCACAAACATAAAGAAGATTAGTTGCTTAGAATATTAAATATACCGGGAAAATTAATTATATGGGTGTGGACGGGTATCCATGGGGCAGGTATAGCTAAACCCAAACCCAACCCAGTGAATGATGAACGAGTTTAAACCTGAACCCGGGCCAAAACCTGTCAACACGGGTTTTACCTGCATTGACCGGGTTGGGTTGGGTAGGGTACCAGTGGGTTCGGATTTTGTTGCCATCCCTAATCTTGAGGCAGTGCATGGATCAGAATCTGGCAATCAGACTGAACGATGCAATCAGAATCATATTCTTGTGCTAATTTGAGACCTTCAAGAAAAGCTTACGTTTTAGCTTCCATCGGGGTAGAACAAAGGAAAGTGTCAGCTCACCCATCACATACTTGTCCATGGTGGTTAACAGAAATCACACCATAAGTCGCCGACTGGGAGTCGTTTATAAACAACCCATCACAGTGAATCTCCGTAGGGTGATTGCTTGGTGGTGTATTTGTATGAGTCTAGGCTCCCTGAGCTATTGGGGTGAGTAGGGATGAGGGTGGGGTCCCTCGGACACGAGGTCCACTCTATGAAATCTTTAGAAGATTGGAGGCTGATATTCGGGGACCAATGAACTCTGTTCTTGAAGACACATTCATTCTTTGCCTTCCAGATGTTCCAGCAAAGGAAAACAATATGAGTCAGACATCGAGGCTCGACCGTGTCTTTCATGGAACGGAACTAGTCGAAGAAGGAGGTATTTTGAGATGGAAGAGGTAGGGTGGGGAAAGTGTTTTTCCAAGAGCTTGTAACATGAGGGAAGGTGAAAAGGAAGTGGAAAAGGGATTCGTTTGGGTTCTGGCAAACCTGATATGTAGAGCCAGGGGAACACCTCCAAATGAAGAATTTTAACTTTGGTGGGAGATGAAGTCTCCAGATCCACTTCAAGCAATTCGGATTCCCCGTGGGCATGACATTGGCATTCACCTTATGGATAGCGTGGTAAGCCGTCCTAACAGTGATGTTTCGCCCAATTGTGAGTTTCCATACTCAGAAGTCCTATGTGTCCTCTTCTCTAATTGGGGTTCTTAAGATAGCATCCAATTCATTGCTTGAGACATTTCCTTCAATGATCTCGGTGTTCCATTTTCTTTCTCCTGGTTCAGTCCAATCCTTGACTTTCAAGTGTTGTTGAGGTCTGCTAGCAAGACTTGCTCTTTGAAGGTTTGGGATCCAGGGGTCCTGATCCAACCATGTATCTTCTCGTGCTCCAATGACTCTAATTGTTCCCAGTTGAAGGACCATCTTAGATTTCCACAAACTAGCCCAAATCCAGGAGGGTCTGCTTCCTTTCTTTGTTGAAAGGAAAGTACTCTGAGGGTAGTAAAGCCCTTTCAGTAGACGACTCCACAACAGATCGGGGGAGGTTAAAAAACGCCATGCCTTCTTGGCCAGGAGGGCAAGATTAAAGCCTTTGAAGCTCCGGAATCCCAATGCTCCTTCTGTTTTAAGAGCGCACAAAATCTCCTTTATGCATTAGTGGAGGGTACTCTTCTACATAGACCCCAACCAGAAAAAGTTGCTAAGAAGAGAATCCATTTTCTTCGTGAAAGCCACCGGGTGGAGAAACAGACACATGATGTAAGAAGGTATGGCTTGGATAACGGCTTTAAGGAGGACTTCCTTTCCTCCATTGGACAAGAGTATACTCTTCCAAACTTCTCCATTTTTTCATCATTCTTGGATAAGAAACTAGAAAGTTTCTTTTTTTTTTAGTTCCCCCACTCCATCGCCCCCCCCCCCCAGATACTTGGAGTGACAGTTGGAAGAAGCAAACCCAATGTGCTTAATGATACTACCTTTGTCATTATCTAAGACATTTGCACTGAAGAAAATGGAGGACTTGGAAGTATTGACCTCTTGTCCAATAATAGCTCCATAATCTTTAATAATGTCCAAGAATATTTTCTGCTTCTTGCTGGTTAGCTTTCCCAAAGATGATTGTATCATCTGCAAAAAGACAGTGAGTGAGAATTTGGCAACAAGGAATGAGCTTAATGCCTTTAATGTGTTGATTCGTAACTGCCTTACCGATAAAAAAAGTAAGAGCATTTGACATTAAGATAAAAAGGAAGGGAGAAAAAGGATCTCTCTAACGGATGCCCCGAGAGGGACAGAACGGCTCGGTGGTTTCCCCATTTAAGAGGATGGAGAATTTAACTGAGCGGATACAAGCTTGGATCCAATTGCGCCATCGGTCGTCGAAACATACTTCTCGCGGAGAGTTTCCAGGTAATCTCATTCAACCATGTCGTAGGCTTTCTTCATATCTAGCTTAAGCATCATATCCCTTATATTCCCCTTCTTGTGATTTTTGAAGTGGTGTAAAGCTTCATGAACAATGATGATGTTACCTTGATTGAGACGACCCCCTGTGAAGGCAGTTCGAAGCTCCGATACCAGGGAAGGGGTCCACTTCTTCAATCTGGTGGCCATAATCTTTGAGATCATCTTGTACGTGAAGTTATAGCAGCTTATAGGACTGAATTGGCCAATAGTCTCTGGATGATCGACCTTTGGGATTATAACAATATTGGTATCATTCCACCCGTCAGGCATTAACGCTATTTCAAATAAATTTTTTACTTCCCTACATATAGTTTCACCAACCGTGCCCCAGAATCTGTGATAGAAACATTCAAAAAATCCATCGGGACCTAGAGCTTTCCTGACACTGCGAGATAAAATCACTCTCCTGATTTCTTCATTGCTAACCAGAGCACAAAGGTCCTCATTCATTTCATCAGAGTCCTGTCTCGGGAAATTCTCCAAGAGATGCTCAAAAGGTGTTGAGTTTTTAGCCTTGAAGAGGCCCTTGTAGAAATCCTCTGCCATCCCTTTAAGTCTTCTTTCATCCTCAACCCAATTACCCTCCTCATCTTTGAGTCTCAGAATTTTATTCCTGTGTTTTCTATGCATAGTGCTTGAGTTAAAGAACGATGTATTTTGATCTGAATGCAGCCAATTCACTCTAGAACACTGTCTCTAGAAATCTTCCTCATCCTTCCATAAATTTGCCAGCTCACTCATGAGACTTTTTTCTTCCTCCACGTTGGCTTGTGTTCGAGAGGGTCTATTAAGGATTTCCAGCCGAGAGATAATATAGTTTTCTCTTTGAATGCTAGCAGAGTGGAAATCCTTTGACCAAGCTTTCAGATCACTCTCACACTTGTTGAGTTGGTTAGATGATGTTCCACCCGGGTTCCATGCTCGAGAAATAATTCCTTGACACTCTTCTTTGTCAAGCCACCTCTCGTCCACCCTAAAAGGGGTCTTCCTTCTTTTAGTCCCACGATAATGGAGGTCCACCCTAATTGGACAATGATCTGACTCCACCATCTTTTCATGGAACACCACCGCTTCATCAAAATGCGCTCTCCAAGAAGTAGAGCACAAAGCACGATCCAGTCTCACTCGTACGGTGTTGATACCGGTACGTCTATTCGTCCATGTGAATGGTTCACCTTTGAAGCCAAGATCAATAAGGGCATTGTGAAAGATGAATCTCTTGAAAGGTTCCACATTTTCCTATTTAAGAGGACACCTCCCCTCTTTTTGATAATCATAGATAGCAGCATTGAAGTCGCCTATTACAACCCAACTATCCTCCCTACTACGTCGAAGAGAGCTAAGTAGCTCCCAAAATTCCCTTCTACTGACAGATGTAGAGGGTGCACGAACAAAATTACAATAGAACTTTCTACCAATATTAATACTAACATCTATATAATAGCTAGTACTACTATGCATATTAATATTGATACCCGACTTCCATCACGATGCAAAACCCCTAGAAGAGTTAACCGGTTCCACATACTCTCTATTGGGAAAATTTTTGAAACTCCTTTGTTCTTCTATAAAGGCCTCATTTTTTCTTGTTTCCATAAGAAAAACGATTGAGGGACTATAACGATGAAAGAGTCATTTAGCATAACTCCTTGTAAGGGGAGGCCCAAACCCCCTACAATTCCAACTTACGATAATCATGGTGAGTGAGGTGACTTTTGGTGAAGCACAGTTGCCTCATCTTTAGCTCATCCCCCACCCACATATCCTCCCATCTCCAACTCCTTGCTTGTTCCAACTGATGAAGATTTGGATTTTGGTAAAATACACTTTCATAGCCAAATCTATTCGAGTTGTGACAAATATAGCCAGTTTTTGAAAAATACACTCGTATAGCCATTCCGTCCAAAACTTTAACGGGAATTTGACGACGGCTGACTAGACTAATGGACGCTTGCAACGTGGACGCTGTTAATCTACGTGGCAGACAGGTGTAAATTGTATATTATTTCATTATTAAAAAAAAAGTAAAACCCTAAATCTAACTTTACCAATTAATCGATTACCCCTTTTACCATTCACGCGATTTACCCCTCTTATCTCATTCTTCTCTCGTCAAACACAGCTCCCCCATCTCTCCCGATCGACGAATCGATCGAAGACCACACCCCGAATGCCCGACCCACCTCTCCGTCGCTCCAGTGAACGACTTTTCCCATATCGCTCCTCCATCTCCGGTGAAGACGGAGGAAACCATGCATCATCCGGCTGGTGAATAGAGGACGGCGGCGAACCCTAATCCTTCGTCTCAGCCGGGCAATCTTCATTGCCAGCCTTCCTCGCACCCGTCGGTTGATTCCAGAATCGCGAGGCGAGGTCGACGAACCCAGAATCACGAGGCGAGGTCGGCGAACCCAGAATCGCGAGCGGAGGTCGGCGAACCCTAATTTTGGTTTCGCGTTTGGCTGGTGAGTGAAGACAAGAGTATGGGGTTATAGTGTGCGAATGTTCTTGCTGGAATGAGGTTGATTAAAGTGCATTTTTTGGTGTCTATTTATAGGTGTTGGCGATCTGTAAAGCTTGGAGAGCGACAGTTCAAGTTCGTGAAGGGACCACATAACTTCTCTTTGTGGTGAGATTGCCCCTGAATCAAACGGTAAGAAACTCAACACATTGGATACAAAAGTCAATTTGTAGTGACGACAACTTGTGCTTTGAAATTGGTTATTTGATTCGCAATTCTTTAGTGGATAGCCTGTTGTATGCGATTTGTTTATTGTAAAGCAGAAAGTTGGTTCCACTTAAGACTAATTAACTATTAATTATGTAATTATATAGTATATAATGACAATAAGGTTGTTATCTTAACAGATGGCAGACTCGTGGGATGAATTGGTGGGCGAAAATGACCCAAATCAGATTGGTCACGATGAGGATTCACTAAGCAGCCACAATGTTGGAGATGCTTCTGTTGCTCCTGATATATGTCATGTATATGACTCCGACGACGCAATGACATCAGATGATGAATATCACGAGGCTAGAGCAAACCTACGTGCATATGGTGAAGGGAGGAAAAGGAAAGTGATTGCAAGAGTTGCTGCTGGTGGAGAAGAAGTAGACCAGCTGTTGGATTTTGAAGAATCTCACTCTGAAAATGGGGAGGAGGAAGGCCAAGATGATGGTGAGAATTCACGCACTAACTATCATGCTCGTTAATGTGTGCTCCAGAAAATTGTAGAAACATGCTGATTTTGCAAGGATTATGTTAGGTTCAATCGTTCCATGCTTCGTCCATGCTATCTTTTGCAAACTTTCAATTTCATACCAACTTCAAATTTCAAAGTGCACATTACATACATTCTCACAAACTTACTGCTTCCACAGAAATACAATCAGTAAGACATTAAGAACCAAGAAGAAACTAAGCATATATCGAATCACTCGCAATTCAGTATACAAATTCTGATATTCAGCTGTTCGACCTCTCTCGATTTTCATCCAATTGCATAACTCCTCCTCCAGCAGTAGCTTATCCTTCTTCATTCTCACTGCCTTCGTTTCGGCCAGCCTTAAGCTTTCTTCCATCTTCATCATCATACCGTCAACATCATTGTTTCGTGCCTCTGATATATCAGAACTTGAATCCACCCAACGAAAAAAAATTGCACCCACATTTCGGATCCTGCAAAATTAACGTTCCTAAGACACAATAGCATTGGAATAGTTCATAGAAACTATGATCTGCTTACCATCCAATTAGGGCAACCATAAAACTGTCTGCCTGGGTTCAACTCAGTCCCAGAAGTTAGGACCAAAGCAGGGAGTTTGCACTTGCAAATGACAGTACCAACACCTTCACTTTTGATGTTCGTTGACCCAGAATCGCCCAAATCCCTCCCGACGTTTCTCCGCCCAACCCTGCGCGACATGATAAATCGGCGCGACTGGATAAATCGGCGACAGGAAAACAGAGGGAGAAGTGAGGAAATGGGAATGACAGAAGGAGAAGGCGATGGGGAGCCAAGAAGGAGAAAGCGATGGGGAATATGGAGGGAGAAGGCGACGGCGATGGGTAAGAGAGAGCGGCGGCGGCGATGGGTAAGAGATCGAGATCGAGAGAGAGCGGCGGCGGGGATGGGGTTTTCCTCTGCAAAACCTAGAATGGGGATTGATAATGGTCGACGGTTGAAGAGAAGATAATAATAAAGAAAGTAAAAATAAAAGTTAAAAATGACGTGGATAAATGATGTCGAGTTGGCGATGATGTGGCGCCCGCGTGACATCCACCTCAGCGCCACGGAGGGCTTACTGACGCCGTCTGTCTTTCCGTTTATGTTAGTAACGGAATTGGCTAAATTTGCCAGTCAAGTTTTCAAAAGTGGCTATACGAGTGTATTTTTAAAAAACTGGCTATATTTGTCACAACGCGAATAGATTAGGCTATGAAAGTGTATTTTGCCTTGGATTTTTTATTTTTCTTCTTCCTATTGCTTCATGTCCCTAGAAATGAAGAAGTAGGAGAAGTTATGTCCAAATGGGCTTGGTTGGCGTCATTAAGCCCAGCTTGAGTCATCCCTCCCGCAACCAGGCCTGTTCTCTCTTTTTTTTTTGTTATTTCGATCCATCTCCCCTTCAATAATGGCCTTGTCTTGCTCATAATTAATATCATATTGATGTAATTGGGCCTCTCTGACTCCCACTTGGGACTGATTTGTGATATAAGTTTGGACTCCCATTTCACCCATCTGGGTTTACGCACCCATTAGCCTAAGACTTAGGATTGTCTCCACCATCAGCTTGTTTTCATATCTCCCTCTTCTCCAATGAACAGACATGTCTCCATCGCCGCAGCTGCTTTTTCTAGATCAAAATTGAGCCTTCTAGCCCCTGTCGCTTCCCTGTACCTTCCCTGCCTTCTATCAGGTGTGAAAATCTCATCGTCCTTGGTTGGAGAGATGACTATGGGTCTGTTGCTTCTCTCAAATCCGGGGGGAACGGATTGCTCCTCCGTACTCTATGTCGGATTTCTAGCCATTATCCTCTTTCCCGCTACTACACTATCCCCCAAGTGAAGCGGCCACACCTCTAGGGTCTTGTCAACTCCCCTGTTCTGCTAGATCCTTGGCCTTCCTTTCTACTGATTTTGATTCTATTCGTGCTCGCCAGAGAGAAGATTTCTGGCGAGTCAATTCCAGCCTTAAAGGATGCGTTGTAGATGTCAGACAAGACCACATCTCCATTCTTCTTCCTCTACTCGTTCATACGCTCATAGGTTGGCCAGTTATGGCCTATTCAGCCACAGAAGTAGCATAGCTCCACCAACCGCTCATACTTGAAGCTAATCCAGTCACAGTACTCAATCCCGGTGTCTTCATCAACAAATGGGAAGTCAAACCCGGTTGGAACAGGTCGTTGATGTCGACCTCCACCAGGACCCTTGAGAAGATCCAATATCCATTGAAATCCAGCAAACATCTGTCAAGGTTGAGTAGTTTGGGGAAGTAGTAAGTACCGATTCCCTCAACATTCTTCTCGTGCAATCCATGGATTTGCACCCAGATTGCAACCCGATCCATGGGAACCTCAGGTGGCATGCCCCTTCCATTCCATATTTTTAGGACGGTGAGCGTGTTTGAGAGACTTCAAGAGCAGTCCAACCAGATTATTTCTATGATTAAGTCAGTGGGGAAGGTGAAGATAAATGAGCTATTCTTATCTTAGATTGGTTGTACTCTAATCTCTCCATATTTCCCCATGCATATCAGGCAGCCCCCGCCGCTTTGGTAGACGCGATCTTGTGCTTGGAGAGGAGCTTTCCAATCATTATAGAATTTCCGCTGCCACCAGACAAGATGATATTTGGTCGTCCAGTGGTGTTGAGCTCTTCAATGAGAGTAAGAAGGTTGGTAATATCAATGGTGTTGTAAAGGAAACAATGAACATATGAGATTATGGGAGTTATGGAGAGGGGTTGTGAGTATGGAAATTTGGTTTGAGAGTTTGAATATCTTGGAGGTTTTCTTTCCCATGAGTTTTCTCTTATACTTATAGCCTCTTTTAGCTTTAATTTCTAAGTAGTTGTGGAGGATATCCATCTTATCAAGCGTTAACTGAGAATTTTTCTATTTGTTTCCTCTGTTCAGCTTTCCTTCCTATGATTTGACTATGGGCTTGATGTCTCATCCCTTCTTCTGATAAGGATTCTCAGTATGAATCTTCCTTGAATTTTCTATCAAAAACTCATCTAAGAGTCTTTCCGCTGGCATTTTCCTCTTCTTAATCCACGACTCTGAGTGTTTCAGTGGGGTTCTCTTAAATGGTTCCCTCTTGATTGTTCGTTTGCCTGTTGCAGTAGGGGAGTAATGGGGTTTTGATTTGTCAGGAGGCTCCCATATTTTTATTTTTCTTTATGGATCTATATCCCCTTAGGTCTGTGTTTGGTGTAGCGGTTGCTGGGTAGTTGGGGAGCATGGGTGAGTGAATGCAGTTCTTCTTCAGATTTGCATGAGATTTCCCTCTTATGGAGTAGATGCAAATGAGGATTTCGCAATGCTTTGATGAATAAGATTTCGTAGACTCTATGTGGGAGTTGAGAGGGGAATCAATTAATGATTCAAAAAAAAAAAAGAACTAGTGTCTGGTTCAGAGAAGTTCTATAGAGAGAAAAACGAGAGAGAGAGAGAGAGAGAGTATAACGCTTTGGATGTTTGCCTACTAAAGAGTTGATGAAGGAAAAAGAAGTGTTGGCTTATGTTCATTCATCCATTTCCATTAGGAATGAAAATCGCTATGTATGACGGGTATTTCGATGTCATATCTGTTTTGTGAATGAGTTCATATTCGGTATATTGTTATGGAGTGCGGATAAAGATAGGTTAATATACCTAACATAAAAAATATTTTAACGACACTTGGTTCTCACTAGTGCATCATTATCGCGCCCGGGCTCATCCCTCTGCCCTACTCTGGTGCATCACTGCATCCGGTCCCGGCACCCTGCTCCCGCAGGGGCATCATAGCACCCGGGCTAGGCACTCGCTACCCTCCGGGGCACTATTGCCCCCGAGCTTGATTTTGCCCCAGGCATCCAGGCTCCGCCTCCCAACACCTGGTTCCGCTATCGCCCCACGGCTCTCGATACGCGTCAGAGCACTATTGTCCCCAAGCTTGATTTTTTGCTGGCGCCCGGGCTCGCTATTGTTCCCGACTCCCAGAACCCGTCGCCGCACTATTGCCACCAAGCTTGATTTTTCCCCAGCGCGCAGAGTAATTTTCCCGCACGGTTACCCGCGTTCGGGATCGCTATCGCCCCCCCCCCACTCCTGGTACATGTTTTTGCACTATTTCCACAGGGCTCCGCCTTCTACCCGACTCGCGTTGCACACCGATGCAACTTTGTAACCCAACTACCATTGTGCCCCTCACCCTGCGACCACTGACGGCCCATCACAACCATTGCACCCAGCGCTCGCGCCCACTTCTGCGCCCATGTTCTTGATAGACCGTTATTTACACATGTTTTTACCCCCGTTCTTACACCGTTTGAGGTATTGATTCTCGTGTTTTAGGCCGATTTCACGCTAGGTTGTGCTTGTTTGTGATATTTCAGGTCCTAGTACGTGAATGAGGGCTTAGGAGCGAATCTGGGGTCGATTGGACGAAGATCGGACGAATGGCGAGGTTTCAAGGAAGCTGCACGGGCAGACCATGGCATCGCACGGCCGTGCGAAGGCCAAGCCAGGCCATGCGGGATTATGTGAGAGCACGCACGGGCAACCCATGAAAATCACACGGCCGTGCAAAGTGCAACCCTGGCCGTGTGGTTTTTGCCGAGGCCGAGCACGGGCTGGATGGAAACCCTACACGGCCGTGCACCCTGGCCGTGTGAGAAGCCTAAGATCGAACTAAACCATACGCCGCGTTTTGAGCCGCACGGCCAAAGTGGTGATCTGCACGGCCGTGCGGCCTGCCCGTGTGAGTCGGGAATTGCTGTTTAAAACCCGATTTTCAGCCAAAGGAAAGGGGAGAGCTGGGTTTTGGATCCCAAACACCCAAGGGACGAACCCTAGAGAGAGAGAGAGAGCGACTTGGGAACATTCTTGGAGCTATTTTGGAGGATTTCTTCGCCATTGGAGCTCAGGAATCAAGCTTGGAGATGGAGATTGAAGATCTAGATCAGATTTCTGCAGTCTCTCTCTTCTCTATGGAGTAACTTCCCTTCACTTAGGTTTTGAGGAACCCTAGTTCCATGAGTTAGGATCTTTCTTGTATGAAGTTTTGGATGCTATATTGTTTGATTATAATCGATTGAGGCATGATTTATTGAGTCAATTGGATCTTGATCAAATTCTCTTGATTTCTGCTTTAACCTATGATAGATAGAATCTGATTAGGTTAAGAGAGCTTCCTTGATTGATAGTAGTGAATTGGTTGTGCGAGAGTCAATCAATTCACTGCTTTGTACTGGAATTCATTCCAGTAGTGGAGATCTGTTTGAATCGCCTTAGCAGTCTATCCCGGTGAAGGCTAGTCGCCTGCCGGGTATTCTGTCTGAGAGGGCTTGGTCAGTTTAAGAGATTCCAAGCTAATTTAGGATCTTCCGCAGTTTAATCAACAGTAGATCAACCAAAGGTAATTGCAACTTGGACCTAATTGAGGAGCTAGGGGGAATCATACCTAAGTGAGTTCCCAACTTGTAATTAGTAGAGTAGTCAGTAGAGTAGTTTATCAATCAATTCTTAATCTAGTTTGCTAGATAATGAACTGAAGCTGAGTAATAGTAACTCTAGAGACCCGTGGATTCGATATTTATTACTTGTGCCACTATACTGCAGTCCCTTTCATTGGTTACACTTGGCCATTGTTAGGTGTTGTGTTTTAGCGAGTCAAGTTTTTGGCGCCGTTGCCGGGGACTTTCTAGATTATTAGGAAAGGCAGAAGTTTGTTACTTTAGCGTTTTTCTTTTTGTTTTCCACCCTTGCTTTTCACTTGGGTGTTTTTGTTTTTGTTGGTGCAGATCTGAATCATGGATCCTCATGGCTTCTCCAATCATTGGGGGTATCCACCACCATCCGAGTGGTATTACCCCGAGACTCCCTGTAGCAATCAAGGAGGAGAAGACTATGGATTCGGGTTCCAGTACCAACCCCCTTTCTACGGAGAACAACCAGACCCCTGGGCATATCAAGAACAACCTCATTACCAAGAAGAATTTCTCCCACAACCAGAAGGGCCATCAGCGCTGGAGTTACCCATGGCGGCCTTCACGGGCCAATCTGCAGAGCCGTGCTACACTCCACAGCCAGATCCAAACTATGAATTGAGGCTTCTCGTGGAGCAGTTTGCTCGAGACACTGAGAGAGCATGCTCCAAGATGGATCTTCAAATCCAAGCCCTTGCCTCGTCGGATCCCTCATTTCTCCATGACATGGAGCAGACTGTTCAGTGCTCAGCGAAGCAAACAGAGTGGGTGAAGCAAGTTTGCTCACATCCTGCTCGAGATCACCTTTCTGCTACTACACTAGAAGAGGTGGAGAATGACAAGGGCAACGGGGGCGTTGAGGAGCATACAGAAGTTATCACAGAGAACTTCCATGATAATCATGATCAGGAAAGTCCTTTGGTTGCAGATCACACTGTTCCTCATTTATGCTCTAAAATGCTGGGCCTGAGCGAGGAGATGCAAGCTGGTCCCATTGAAGAAATTGCTTGGCGACTTGCTCTCCAATCTGTTCTAGAAGAAGAAGAAGAGCGAGCAAGGATGAGGAAGGAAGTTGTGGAGGATGAAGAAGAAAGTAAAGAAGTGGTAGTTCTTGATCTTTTCCAAGGGGAGAGACCACATTTTGAAGAAGGAAGGGGGGTTGTGGAGGCAATTGGCGTCCAGGCTGAGGACGGAGTTAAGGTGGAAGAGGCCTGCACCGGCCATGAGTTACATGTGATATCTCCACCAAACTTCGAGGAGCTGCTTGGCAAGGACCCATTTGCAGTGTCTCTTTGCCAGACCAAGGCCACATCGACATCGGTCCCTCTTGGTGGACGCGATGGTGGCCAATCGATGCTGTCTTATCTGGTTTGGGGCAATGGGACGAGAGAAGAGAAGAAGAGGTCTCGAAGGTGGAGACTTCATCTGCATCAAGTACATGAGCCTTCATCACCTGCCACACCACATGCTCGTGACTTGAGACTCCACCTCCTCGACGAGAACCTCAACTTCAAGGAGGTTCTAGCATGGACCGAAACTTAGGAGCCATCGTCCGGCTCACGATGTGAAAGGAGCGCTTGTTGGGAGGCAACCCAACCAGTCGGTTTGCATTTCTTTCTCTATTTATCCTCGGTTGAGTCAGTTTTGTTATTTGATTTTAGAGTCAATAACTCAACCTTTGTGAGATTTTGTGTGGTGTTTGTGTTCTGATTACTCTCTCTTCCTGGAATGCACCGCCTGACCCGTACATCATCATTCACCCTTGATCTGGTAACTTCGTTCTACCCTCCTTATCTTTCCTCCATTGAGGACAATGTCGTGCTTAAGTGTGGGGGGGTGTTCGATTATGTATGCGGGTGAATGTTTGGCTGTTTGTGTGCTTGGAGCCTAGTCCACTGTCCAAAATTTTTAAATTTGAGGGCTCCAAGTACGTGTTCCTTGCAATTGCCTGCTCAGTATGCTTTGAATTGACAGTCTCTGTAGTGATTTGCAACCTAGGGAGGTAGTGTAGCACTATGGAGGATGTTGATGCATTTAAGAAGTCTCATTTCTTCTTCATATTGTGTTGGTTGATTGAGTGAATTAGTGATCTTAGGACCCTTGAATTGTGTGGTGTTGTGGACTCTCTGCCTGTCATGGACTCTTGTATCATGTTTTGAAAATATCAGGTGCTCGAAAATGTGCTTTAAAATAACGTCTCCCGTGCGAATAGGGCGAAAGTGTGTAAGGGGAGACGAGAATCCGTTCCCAATTTCCACCTACTACCTCCAGCCCCTTACATGTCTTTCCCCCGCACGAGGCTCGAGACAACTGCTCCTGGCATGGCCGGTAAGAGCCGGGCTCCCGCAAAACCTTTGCTAGGTGGGAGCCCCCGTTTTCT